TAAATTATCTGAAAGAAGAAAAAAGTTAACAAGGATTACTCTGGGGCGTGACAAAACCTAGAATATCTACCCTGCATAGGGGTAGATTAACCTTTGTAAAATCTTTTGTTGTAGAAAACAAACGTATTCAGGAAACTGAAGCAGTCTCTCATGCTCATGTCTGGAGTACGGTCAATCAAACGCACCTTTGAATTCTCGTATTCAAGAAGTTATTTTTTTACATCTTTATAGCGTTTTTACCGTGGGTGCCAGAGACTTTTCATGCGCGGTTTCCGGTTTGAGACAACTCTTTAAATTGTGACCCGCGTGACTGAAGATCGACTGGCCTTCGACCGAAGATCTTCGGCCTCTGGCCGACACCGAAGCATCCAACCGCACACGAGGAAAAAAAAACCCTCTGGTACCCAGGATACAGTGAAGCTGGTTTTGCCATTTTATAAGGTGGCTCATTAACTAAAGAGATCTTTGTTATAATGTTCTCTAAATGAAAAAAATAAATGAATAAAATAATAATAGTTCGCTCATCTTTGAACATCATTCTAAATATTGATTTCAAAAACGATTAAAAGTGTTTCAGTGGCCCGGGTGTACATTTCAATTTTTGTTCAGCTTTTCTTGCGTTTGGAATCCGGTGAACCCAAGCACAAAGTTTTTTAAATTACTTCCTCAACAAATGGATTGTGTGGTAAGCAAACTCGGAAGTCCAAACGTTGTAAAATTATTATGGTATGTAGGATTTTTGAACTTGCAGGGATTTGGTTTTCTCAATATAGGAACCATTGAACCTTAAGTGGCCTCAAAAAAGTCGAGAAACCCACAAAGAATCACTGGAAAATTGGATTTCAACCCACTAGATGTGCCAGACAAATGTGACGGTGAAGTTTTGCTCCCGAAGAGATTCATCTCATCCTTTAATAGCTTTGTGAAACCAACCTTGCGTTTTTGAAGCGAACTCAGCTTTGTTTTTGGTATTCTTTTCTAGTTTTTCGGTTTATTTCCCATTCTTTATTACAAGCTCATTAAAGGCTTGGGGTTAATCAATTTTCATCTATTTTAGACGTTCGATGCCACATACCGATCTGATTCCTTGTCAAATATTTCAGCAAGATAAAAAATATTGCCGTGATATAAACACTGTAAATCAGGCGAATGAAATTCTTTTTAAAGCGATATTTCCTTTTTCAGTGCTTCTACTTCCATCTCTCTTCATCCTAGCGCTCTGAAATAGAACACGCAGTGACATTTTTGTCAAACTATGCGTAGCAGTTGTTTAACTTATAGTAACTCAAAGTTTGACATAAATACGGGGGGTCCTCATATTTTTTTACGACCAGCAGCACTTGTAATAATTCCTTACAATATTAATATGATTATATTTACACGTGCGTGCTTTGAATACGTTTCTGTCGAGCTCCGACAATAAAGCAAAAGCCGCCTTATTTTTTTATGCGTGCTAACCATGCACGAAAAGCGCAGTAAGAATGTGCAATGCGATACTCAAGGAATAACCTTGATGTATGCTCAGTGGATTTATTTTTTGATGCCTCCGACTAATTGCTTATTAGAAGAGAATAGCAATAAGAGACTGGAGGATCGATAAAGGAAAGATAAACAGGATTAAGTTTGGTTCCAAATGTACCCTGATGACGAAGAGGACCGCTGAATTCGAATCGCCGGGCCCCCATTTCATGAGAAAGAAATTTTGCCGGAGTTATTGAAGTAACCTTCCAATTGCGTTTTTCTTCGTCTCCTCTGAGTCTACAGTCCTGCTCTTCTTGTAGACTCGGAGGAGACGAAGAAAAGCGCAATTGGAAGGTTACTTCAATAACTCTGGCAAAATTTCTAACGTCTTTTCTGCGTTATTTTAGGGAATATTGTTGACTACAGGACATCAAAATGATAATAATAATAATAATAATAATAATAATAATAATAATAATAATAATAATAATAATAATAATAATAATAATAATAATAATATGGGCGTTTGTATCGAAGTATTAAAGGCTATTTAAAGGACACGATGGCATCCTTTGACAAAAATTACTTCACATCACTGCATATACCCCCGCAATTTTGGAACTTCATAGCTCTATATCACGTTGAAAACGTACCACAGTATAGTTTGATGAAGAATACTTTAAATGAAACTACAAAAAAAATGCAAAGAGTTTCTTCGAATAAAGCCTCTCTGAAACCTTCATTTGTAGGCCGGGTCTATTTCCTCACGATAAGCGTGGATTAGTTCTGAATTCTAGTCCTCACGAGGAGGTTAGGTTTATACACACAATTCAAATTTTTTTTGTCACTGAGTGAAAAATTGTATCTTTTTAAGTAGTTCCTCCCTAGTATGATTAAAATGGTGAAAAACAAATTAAAAACGAGTCTTAAACCTGAGTCCAATCTGGTCATCGTGTAATAACGAATGGCTAGAAAGAGTCTTACGGATGCAGAAGAGAGCTGCACGCATTATATTGGACGCCGAAAGAACAACACGCACATTAACTATGTTTAATGCACTTAACTGGATTCCATGTTTTATCGAGGCATATACAAGTACATGTTCAATAGCCTGAGAATAGAGGGTACAGCTCTTTTTAAAAAGAAATTGTATACGAATTTGATCGCTAAGCAAAAAGAGACAGGTAATTTTGAATATCTTTTAAACAGTTTTTAAATAGTTTTGAGTATCTTTAATAACTTGTTTTAGATAGTATAAAATAGTTTCTAAATAGTTGAAATTCCTAAATAAGACTCTAGACAGTTTTCTAAATACTATTTTTGCTTGTTTTTAAATGGAGTCTTTTAATGTTAATTTTTATCAAATTATAGTGATAGTGTAAAATTATTTAAACATTAATTTTGTGTTTATGTTTTATAGAGGGCCACAAGTTTATCAGTTTTTTCATAACTGTCACGTTTTTAACCTCTTTAAATAAAGGCGTTTCCTTACCTTACGTTATACGATGATGAGATGACAATGATCTATGATAACCATGAAACTCACCCGAGCATACTTTTGATAAGTTATGCATGGAATGATATTAAATATGTAGCCCGTCAGACTCCTTTGTTTTATGTTTTTGTGGACCGGACGGTGCACATTTAAATAGCATTCCTATTATCTTGATCATATTGACCAATAAAAACGTCGCAAGAGCTTCCAACATAAACTTCAAGACCGTTGTTTTTTATCTTTGATGTTTGCCTCCATTCACAGCCAGTCTCCTCTTCTTACTATGGTTAAGTCGGCCGGCCACTTTAAAATACTTGTCCCAACATGACTGGAGAGAATAATATGAAAAAAATATACATGTATACCTAATGATCAAAAAATATTTATAAATCGACTTTCACCTTTTTAGTCACTTGACGTGCAGTTCATTCGTCTTTTGCTTCTTTGAGCGTGTCGTTTGGCTCATATCTCTTGCCCAAATTCTTTTATCAGTCAGAATTACTCTCTTTAAATGAAGAGAAATGAAACAGACAAATACCAGTTGGCCCGTCACAACAGTTAAAGAGAGTCATCTACAGGCTTAAAAATTTACAACGCAGTGCGAATTATTGTCGCCTTTTCTCTCTCTCTCTTTTTTTTTTTTACACAATCGTGGATCATAAATCATGCAAATTGGCCGGGTGAATATGAAATTTTGAGAACCCAAAAACGTCGCTTTAGCCAGATTACCTTTATTCTTATTTGACATCGAGCAAGCACTCTTCAATTTTAACGTCATTTTCAAGAGCATATCACATACTGCAGAAGTGTCTGATATTGCTATTGTTGTTGTTGTAGTTAAGGGACCGGTCATTATTTATTGCCCGGTGGGGGGGGGGGGGGGGGGGGGGGAGGAGGGGAGTGAGGGGGAGAGAGAGGGGGGGAGTGGGGGGGGGGGGGGGGGTAGGGTAGGTATAACTTAAGTTGTGGGAGAACAAAAGGGAAGATCAGGCGAAACTAAGAGCCGAAAGGGAGGGAGCGGTTCAGAGGGGGGACCACTAAAAGTGGTTTGAAAAATGAAGATGTGGGGGGGATAGCAAAAGTCATCAAAAGTTGTTAGGAGGGATCACTTAACTGAAGTAACATTCAAAGTGGGGATCGGCTAAATTTCACCTTGTTTAGCCCCAAATCCTCCGAAATGGTCGCGGCTCTGGTCAAGGTATTCCTTCTACATGATTTTACGATCGTTCCGCAAAATCGCGCAAAACTGAAATCTTTCTAAACACGGGATGGGGCAGCCGGCTTCTCCCATGTATATGACTGTATTGGTCTGTACTGCGTAAAAAAGGAATAGCCGTTCGTGTGAAAAAAATTGTGTAACGATGTTTAAAACAAACTTTTATTTTCAATTTCGTGATATAATGAGACTAAAAGTTTTACTTGATTCATTGTGTTAATATATTGCAGCGAGGGCATATCATTCCTGACCAACATTTGTTCATAATATCCTTTATTTCGGACATAATTCTGTTTCTTTAAAGAAACAAATCCTTAAGTCGATTTTGCCTTAACTTTGAAACTATATGTGTATTTGAATACATGTAAATTAAACTGTACATTTTTCTCTGTGATCCGTTGAAATCAAAACAAAAAAGATCACTTTTGCTTTTGTTTGGTTCTGACAGCGGGGTATAGCTACTAGCATCATCAAAAAGGACAATGCTACTCAGATTTTGTAAAAAAGCATTCAAGGCTCTGATAGGCCTGTTATGAAGCCGAGCGTTGAGCAGTTCACTCGAGAATTCGAATCCACAACACCTGCGTCTTCTTTTTTCAGTTGAGGCGTGAATTCAAATGTGGTTGCCTGGCAACAATTCGAATAAAATTAATGTCCAGTGTGAATAGAACCCAGTGTGATAGTCGTCACGAGGGGAGAAAATCACCCACGTAAAGTCGAATCTGATTAAAATTGGACATGCTCTTCCGAAGACGGCGGCATCAGAAAATGCACCGATTTGAAAGACCATTTCTACTGCATTATAAATAATATGCCCATTTTTTGACAATGCTTAAGGGTCCCGTGGACGATGGAAAAGGCCAATGCATAACTTTAGTTTCTGTAATTTCCTTACTGTCGTTAACAATCGTAGTCGGTCATGCACTGATACTGATAATTTTGTGGAAAGATCCTTTCAAGCGGTTTCGAACACCACCTACGTTTTTGGTTTACGGAATGGTATTGGCAAACTTTACTAGCGGGGTAAGCGCCGGCCCTCTTTTTTGCTATTATGTCATTTCTTCGTGTTCGGCACTGAGACCTCCGTATTTAGAACTGCTGTGGAACGCTGCCAGCTTTATGCTGTACTGGACAACAAGTGCTCGGATTATCATTGTGCCAGTACATTGGGGCAAAGATACCTCACAAGCACTCCGGGTTAGTCACTAAAAAGACTACTGCTAGCTTCCTTGGAATTATTACTTTCATCTCATTTCTAATACCGGGTCTGCTTCCTCTTGGTGTTTCCCCAATCATAGTGGAAAAACTACAACTACACGTAACGTTTCAGCTGAGTACGTTTATCCTCTGTGCCTTATATGCAGCTCTCGGCGTGGAATATTTACAGCAGGTTAAACGAGCTAGGGAAAGCAGCAACAACGCAGTCAAAGGAATGACCTGCGTTCGGGTTAGAGACAGAAATTTCACTAGAGCCAATCTAATGTTGCTCGCTTGTGTTACACTTTTAAGCCTGCCGATAATGATAACATGGCATTTATCAATGTACGGAGAAAAATTATTCTCTTCCAAAACAGGCCAAACGGCATCTGGAGCTGTAACAATCACCTTATTCATGATGAAAATAACTCTTGACCCCTTTATATATTGCATGCGGCTAACGATATACCGCAAAGCGTTTAAACGCATTTTCAAGTGGAGAAATCGACAGGTTGCGCAT